ACCCTTAAGACATTATTATGTACATCTTTGTATAGATTCTTCCTCTAATCAAATATGTAAATCTATTGATTCTTAGGTAGTTAACTAGTTGTAACAAAGTATCTAATTAATTTTGTGAAGTAAAAACCATTTTTAAAGTTTTCGAATCCTCTCAGAGTTCTCACTGGTTTGGTCCTATTTGTTTTAAAATACATCAGCACCATTTTAATTTGATGAATCCTTATTACACGTACGATAATTATTATCTTATCACTTATATAGTCACTGTGCACTTAATTACTTACAAACAATTATATTATATCAGTTTAAAAAGAACGCACCTAAAGGGATAGATAATATAATGCTATTTAAGGAACTGGTAAATAATTATTTGGGCAATAAAGGAGAGGATAAATTACTGGGACGTTATTAAGGACATGATTGTTTGCTTTTACTTGCTTGCAAAAATAAGATAAGGCAAAAATAAACAAAAAATGCTTCCCTATTGTTCGAGTCTTGAAATTAAAAAGACAAAAACTGAGCTATTTTATTTAAGGGGTTCAAATAAAACTGCATATTATGACATGGGGTTTTAGAGAAGAAAAAATTACTAATTGACAATAAGAATCGCTTAATTTCTATCGTGGTCGAACCAAATTTTCATTATCTCTTCACAGTAGAAAATACCACAAATGGCGTGGTGAACGCCATCTGTAGTACGATGCTACATTTTAGGATTACGTATGCTCCAACAAGGTCCATTTAAATATATGGATATCTACTTGCTGAAACGAATCCCGGCNATGTCCGCTGTTCACTGTTTTCGAGAAAAACGTAGTTGAAAATACAAGTACCTAAGTTGAATTCCGACCCTGGTAAAGGAATACAGCCCGCAACGTTGCACTCAATGACCTGGTGATTACTAGCGTCACTGTAGTATTTGTTTTGTATTTTTTATTGTTAGATTAGACTAAATGTGGTCCAGGGTGCTTATGCTAGCAACCAACTTTTATTAACCGTTTATTCTTTTAACGTTTAAACCTTACATGAGGACATCTATCTGCAGAGAACTGTAGCTCCTCTCAGTGTGGAAAATTTATAGGAACAGTGTGCGCATCCTTATCATTTGCAGCGAGTGCAAGTCTTGTTTAGAGGATTTGCTTCACGCGGAACGGAATTTTGAATTTTTTGAATTACTGTTGATGCGATGCAAATTCGCATGTCATACATCTTTCGCGACTTCAAGAACTCTTTTCGATTAATATGTTGTGGGAAATGTTTCTATAAATGTTTATATTAAACTGCTAAAAATAAATTATTGAAAAATATGACGACCCAGGTTTTAAATTAATCCGTTTCATAACTTTCAAAAAGTAGTATGAAAGGGTGATTTGTGAAAGGTTACATCTTTCTTTCGGAAGTGCAAAATCAACATCCTGAAACCAATGGGCAATTTCTCAAACGTACCTATATGCATTAACTAAATATATTTCTAAAATGTCAAATGATTCCTCGAACGGTTTAGTCGAAAGGAATTTTTCTTTTGCAGGGAGCAACAGTCCATCTCGTCGACCAAGATCGGTAGCTGTTCCAAATCCATCGTCTGCTCCCCAGTGGGAAACGCACTTAGCCAGGGCAATGTACGCATATCTATCAAGTGGAGAAAATCAATTGAGCTTCCTCGAAGGCGACATCATCGCGTTGATCGGGGAAAGAACTAAGGGATGGCAGTTTGGCGAAAACCTAAGGACGCAATGTAGCGGCTGGTTCCCTATGGCCTATACCGAATTACTGGACGATTCCATTATGTAAGACTAAACCGAAAAGGCATTATTAAGTCTATTCAAATGTTTTGACAATTGAGTTTTGTTTAAAATTAAACTTCTAAATCTATTAATAATAAAAAATACCACGAATGGCGCGGTAAACGCCATCTGTAGTACGATGATACATTCTAGGATTACGTATGTTCCAAGAAGGTCCATTTAAATATATGAGGATATTTACTTGCTGAAACGAATCTCGGCGTAGCTAACCTCAACGTGATAGGCACGTTACCATAATCGAATTCATCGAATTAAATGGTCCTTGGTGGACCATACGTAATTCTAAGATGTAGCATCATACTACAGATGGCGTTCACCGCGCCATTTGTGGTATTTTTTAAAACGCGCTGTTAAGACAGCAGGTAAAAGTTGATCTGTGTTCTGTCGGAGCTGCCTGCGACGCGCTGATGAGATCCAAAAAGATCGAAATCGCGATCCGCGTCTGGCAGTTTCGACAGAATACAGACCACTTCGAATTATTTTAATCAGTTTGTCAGTTTTGTCCATTTATTTAAAGCTATCTCTTACTCCTTCTTAGTATATCTTATATAGTAGTACTGCTATATCATCTGCAAATCTAATCGTAGTAATATTCATCTTCAACTTAATTATAAAAACAAGAAAGAGCTTTTAGGTATATGTATATATATATATATATAGTAGGCACGCAGGAGGCTGAATATTTTTTTTCAATTTCACTCACGATCAAATGATTTTAAGGATTAAATGGATTNTATATATATATATATATATATATATTGCATCCTAGAAAGCTCTTTGCCACCGCAACTGTAATTGTGGTACGTATAGTTATTTATACATAACAATAGTATTTAATAAAGTGATAACTGAAAAGCAATGTTAAATATTTATAATTGCATATTATTAACAACGTTTTACCAGCCAAAGAAAATAAACTGTCGGCGTCGAACTATTTCTATTCGGTGACTATAATGACTCATATTGTCAGTATAATTTATGATACATTTGTATGCTACTTGTAATTCATCAAACGATTGCTGCGAATGGTTTTAGAACATCATTCTTTGCATGTTCAATAATAAAACAATATGTATGTACACTTAAACAATAAATATTTGGGAGTTCCAGTAAAGAGAATCGAATGCCAATAAGCTAATGTCACTTCCTGTCCCACCGGAAGCAGCAGGGAGTGCGGACGTGTGTTAATCATGGTACATTTTCCTAATTTACATTTATAAATCAACTACAACTTAATTATTATAAATAAATAATAATGCCTAAGTTTATTTTGAATGCATGTTGTAAAATAACGGTTAGTGGAAAGTGACAAAATTTAATTAAAACAATGTAAATCTAAAAAGTGAATTTCACTTCTATACAAGGAAGGCAAAATGTTTACCAAACAATGACGCCGGGTACCCGAACTCTCAAAATCTTTTGAACAAATTGTAACATCCCCCGATGACTTTAAATTGCATTTATACGATTTAATGAATATTTGTAGTGTAGAAAATCCCTTGGTTCGGTTCTCAATTCATTACTAGCGCACAACCCTTTCATTAACACCATCACTCTAAGATTTTATTATTAAAATCTAATATTTTCTTCAATTATTAAGTCTGCAAAAAGGTCTACATAGGCATTACTTTAATTCGTTACAAGAAAAGAAAGAACAAAAATGCATAATAATTTATAATTTTCAAAAGTCATTTAGCGATAAATTAAAATTTCAGTAACTATTTATATATATTTATTGTCCTTACCTCTACATAGTAATTAAATTGAATTCATTTCTGTGCATATTCCTGTAATTGGCTTCAAATTGTGATGACCTTTTAATGCTAATTAGATTCCATGCAAAACCTTCATAATATTTCTAGTAAAACCGACAGAAAGAAATAATGTTTCGATATTCAGTAGTAACATTTACCAATTTGGATATTATTATTATTAATGAAGCTAAAAAATTCACATAAACTCATATTTCATTTTCCTTAGGTACTAAGAGGAATTTAATGATATCTAAATCGTGCCATGAGGTATTTTAACAGGATAACTGCCTTTAAATTCAAACCAGTGTTTAATTTTTTTCACTGCGCCACTATTACTACTCCAGTTGTTAAATGCTTGCTAACATGTAATGCCAGCATATAAATGCGCCTGGGTCTTCGTTTATTTAGGTTAAGCATGTAAACTAAAGGCTTCAGCTAAGTTACACATAGTGGCACAAAAAGGCTTTTAGATATGGTACAAAACAAGTATTTCAATTTCCTTTGCTTTTACAGTTTTGACGCAAAAAATGTACCAGGCAATTAGGTATGGTTCAAATGTGAGATATTTTTATACGTGAGGAGTTGAGTAATTCGAAATTTTGTGGTTTTCCAAATTCCCACACATATTTTAAAGAATAAAGCGAATTTAAGATGAGAGAATATTTTGCTTTAAACCATTTAGGTATAAAGCTTTTCAAAAGCAACAACTACGTACTGTTCCCAGACTAACATTTTTGAAGTAAGTATCTTATGTTTGATTTATGAGAGAACTTTAGTTAAGAATTGCCTTAAAAAGGTTGAATTTTTTTGTACCTGGTTGTGAAGTGTATCTGGTGAATTGGGTAAATACTTGAGAAAAACTAAAAATCCATTTAAGCCAATTTTAATTTAATTAGAAATAAGCTCAGCATTCCTTGGAGATTCACGTCTATTATGAATTTATTTTCATTAAAAACCTTGAATCTCGAATATTATACAAATTGGAAAGATGATATAGATCTGTCTCTAATAACATACTTACAAAATGTAAAAATAAAATCAAATTATATGTTCGAGTTGTTTTAAAATAAAGTTGTTCAAAATATAGAAAACCCAAATAAAAATGTTTAAAAATAAACTGAAGATTTCCCCCATAATTTGCACTGTTACTACAATTGTTTGGATTTGTGCTTTTAGATAAATAGGTAAAAGTCTCTTCTATCTTTAGTTTATACCAGCATTTCTTATGCTAGTTACTGTACCATTTTCACCTGTGTTCTAGATTTACGCACACCAGGTACCTAGATAGGTAGAGGCTGGTAATTATTATTTTCTACCTGCTTGCGTGGTGCGTGAACATTCCATCCGATTTGATGGCAGGTAGCTACTCACTCATACCTAGACAGGTATCCAACCGAGATACTGAGCAATCAAGTAATGCAACAACCACCACCTCACTTACCAGTAATGTTTTAAAATCCTCATCCTGTGTCCAGGATTCACAGCCTCCTAACACTCAACAAACTATACGCGGTAGGTAGGTACTACTACAAAACAAAAAATAATCGCGCACTGACACTCTCTCTTTCTCTCGCCCGAACGGTCACGATTTTTCACATTTTCCACGGAAAACCCGAACTAAAACAACAATAATTAAAATGCACAGGATCGTATTTAACCACACAAACGTATAAATATCCAAGACTGTCTAATGATAAAGTACCGAAATAATAATCTGGCCGTTAATCCTGATACTTGCTCTATGTTAGACTTTCGAAGCACGACTGGAAAGGTAAGACAGGTAGAGTGCTTAGGTCTCGCGTACACTTGTTTATTGGTGTTCGTATGTGTGTGTATTTGTAAGAACTATCAAATACACGTCCGAGTCGGCTTACGGTCGACGAGGTTTTAGTATAATCTACGGAGCCAGAATCTCGGCTTGTTGTTGTTGTTGTTGGTATTATTATTACTACCTTTCCTCGCCAGGTCTGGCGACCAATAAAAGTGGATGTTCTTATACCAAGTACGAAAAATAAGTGGGTGTAGGTAGGAAAGCACGCTCGACAGAAGGCAGTTTCAATGAGGAGTACAGGGCAGGATTTCGACATCATCTGATCTTTCAGAACATGCATGCGTTCCTCTTAAGACAAGAAAGCTCTTGATACAGTCTCAAAAAAAAAAATATTCATAATCCATTTTTCAAAATTGTTTTTGGTCATTTTTTACATTAGTTGACATTGGAATTGACACATGAAGTTTAGTCAGGTAGGTAGTACTCACCAAGTAGAATCGCGTGGTAGCATTAATTCCGTGCGGAAACCAATGTAGCTTGAGATACAGGCTCCTAAGTTATTTAATCGGAAGAAATTTCGATTGGTACGGCCCTGGCTGCAGCCCTTCGTCAGCTGTTCACGCCAAATATGCATTGATGACGTCATTGTTTAGTACGGTAGATGTATGACAGACTCGAGTTTGTTTAATGCCCCTGCCCGCCGAAGGCGGGCTGATACATTAGAATAATGTTAGGAAGATATGTTTTAGGACAAACGATGTTTGGCGGGAACAGCTGACGGAAGGCTGAAGCCAGGGCCGTACCTACCGGAATTTCCTCCGATTAAGAAAACTTTAAGGGCCTGTATCTCACTCACATTCATTTTTAAACAAATAATAAACAAAATTCTAGTAAATACTACTACACTACTTTACTTGGTGAGTACTACCTACCTGACTAAACTTCATGTCTCAATTCCAATGTCAACTAATGTAAAAAAT